CTATCTTTAGCCCTACTCTTAAAACTTCTCCCCCTCCTAACATGACATGAAAGCACTAATGCCCTTTATATAAGATACAAACAAGAAAAATAAAACCCCTAACCCTCAGAAAACAAAGAAAAATAATAAATATAAAGAAGAAAAAGGAAACAAATATGCATATGTACATCCACAAAACCAATCAGCATAGCATGAACCCTGAGTGTTGGTGGTAGTGGTGGGGTTCTTAATGAAAAATGAATTTTCTGTGCTCAGGTTATGAAAACTGTCAACAAAAATGGGTGTTCACTCACTATGCCAGACTACCCTTCTTTCCATTTCTTCTGGGGCTATGTACCCCTTGGGCTATGAACCTCCAGCAAAGACTAGAAGTTGTTAAACTTTGGCTCTCTTTGTGTTGCTCACCAACTTGCCAGCTAGAGTGACCTGGAGTCACAGCTGGCTGAAATAGTTCTCAGTTTCCCTTCTCACTAATTATAAGGAAGAACAGATGGAAAGTACTAACATTTGGAGTTCTGTCTGGACAGACTAAATCAAAATGCTCCCAGGGTAGGACTGCTACAGAGTTCTACATGGGAACTTCTGGCAGCTGAGGTTTGGCTTTAATCAAGCCTTTGGAACTTTGTTGGGGTGGTACCTGCTCTGGAGAGATTAGATGAACACACCTGTTGGGCCAGGTAGAGGCCCATCTGCATCTCAAGGGATCTCCTGAGAATTCTACTAGAAGGGAAGGGGAGCCAACACTCCACAGATTTACACACTCTATTACCCACAAATGTGGCCTTCCAGATTCAGTCTACAGAATTCCAGAGTGAAAGCATGCCCACCTGTTCAGTTTCCTCACCCTCTTCAACTGGTTATGTGAGCCATCAGACTCAAAGGGAAAGCAAGTTGCACTCACCAGCATATCTCTGACTTGAATCCTGTTGGGTACAATCCTCTCTGTGCCTATACCTCTGTGCTCTGCTAGGTACACCCTAACACACAGTAGGTGCTTGCCTGTACAGCATAGCAATATTTGCTATGACTTCACAGGCTCCCACAGGAACAAACTGCAGAGTGGCCTCTTAATGGCTCCGGCCTCAGCTCTCCATTTACCAGTTGAGAAACTCAATAGTTTTCAAATACCAGCTCATTGTACAACCTCTGGTTCAGCTAAGCTCAGCCTGCTTTTCTGTCCCACCGTTGCTCCATGCCCAATTGGTCCATTATTTCTGTGTGTTATTATCCCTCACTTCTGCAGTTAACTGGTCCTGCTGTCACTGCTGCCACTGGCTTCAATTCAATACACTCTTTCTTATTCTTTTTTCAATATACTGAATTTATGGGTCTCTAAGTGCGGCTTCACACGACTAAATCAATCAGGGTCACTCCAAGTGAATTAGAACTGACACGAAATAATCACACAAAGAGAAATACCTTTTTCTTTGGGTTCAGTGACTGCTCCTCAGCCACAACTCCCCAAAGGAGGGCAAGGCAGGCAAGAAAGGAGGAGGAGCACTCCTCAAACCTGGGTTTTATTAAATGGGGGGAGCTAATCCATGGAACATTCTATCCAAAAAAAAGGGCAAAGGGTAGGGTTACAACAAACAGGTAGGTGTAATTCAACCCCATTAGGTGATGCCCACTCCTGGAGCTCATCTGAGTGGAGGTAAAGTCCAGTTGCATTGCAATGGGTGCAATACCCGTTCAGTACCCAGGACTTAAAAGGTGTGTATATAGCTACTGTCCCAAGTGGCTCCCAACATCTAAGAGTCTCTGACTGTATGATATTGAATTTCAATGAATTATCTTTTCCTGCTGCTTGAAAATGTGGTACATACACAGAATGGAATATTACTCCGCCATAAAGAAGAATGAAATTATGGCATTTTCACGTAAATGGATAGAACTAGAGAATATCATACTAAGTGAAATAAGCCAAATCCAAACAACCCAAGGCCAAATGTTTTCTCTGATAAACAATGCTGATCCATAGTGGGTGGGTGGGGGAGGGAGAATGAAGGAATTTTGGATTATGTAGACGGGAATGAGAGGAGGGGTGGGGCGGTGGGAATGGGAAAGACGGTAGAATGAGACAGTCATTATTACCTATATACATGTATGATTACACTACTGGTGTGACTCAGCACCATGTGCAGCCAGAGGAATGAGAAGTTATGCTCCATTTGTGTACAACGTGACAAAATGCATTCCACTACCATGTATAACTAATTAGAACAAATTAAAAAAGAAAAAAAAGGGCTGGGATTGTGGCTTAGCGGTAGAGCGTTCCCCTAGCACGGCAAGACCCGGGTTCAATCCTCAGCACCACATAGAAATAAAGACATTGTGTTGTGTCCATCTACACCTAAAAAATAAATATTAAAATTTAAAAAAATCATCAGAAACATAGAATTGTTTCTTTAAAAGTAGAATGAAGGGGAATAGGGGAAGGGATGGGAGGGAAAGGGGATGGATTGGGGAATGAAATTGATCGAATTATACTGTTTTATTGTGTGAATGTATATTATGACAAATTAAAAATAATAATAAATTAAAAATCTTCACATAAAATAATATAAAAATTATCCATGATCCTGAATTCATTATAATTCCATGAAAAATTATGACTCTGTCAAACATATTTTGATACCATGCTCCTGACCTGGTATGTCGCTTAGAATTTTGTAAATGCCATGTCACCCTTTAGTCCAAACATTTCTTGAAAATTGATGTGGATTGTCTATAATGATTTTGGTTTGGGTCATTTCCTGGCTATTAATGAAAAGAGGGGGGTCAACTGTCTTCAACCCTTTCATTCTTTGAGGTTATTTATTTCAAATAAGTGGTCTGAGGTGAAATCATTATTGCTTAATTAGTGTATTTTTTTTTTATGCTGAGGATATTTCCAGAATAAAATGGAGTATTTTGGAACAAGAACAAAAAAAAAAAAAAAAAGAGGAATAGATAGTTTGAACGACACTTATCTTTCAAAGAATTTGAGTTTGTAGCTAAAATTTTCCCACTATGGAAATGCCAAGTTAATATTACTTTGCAGGTAAATTATATAAATTATAACAATTAAGGAAGAAACCTCAATTTTAAATTTTTCTAGAAAATCAAAAGGAAGGGAAAACTTCTTGACTCATTCTGTGAAGTTAGCATTACCTGATAATAAAATAAGACAAACACATTACAAACCTGAAACACCAGCAAACAAAAAATAACATGAATACCCCAAACATGACATGCAAAAGTTCTAAACAAAATATTAGCAAACAACATATAAAAAGATAATACAGGGCTGGGGATATAGCTCAGTTGTTACAGTGCTCGCCTTGCATGCACAAAGCCCTGTGTTCAATCACCAGTGCCACAAAAATAATAATAATAATAATACATAATACATAATGAATGAGTTGAAATTTTTTCAAAAAAACAAAGTTGGCTTAATACTAAAAAATCAATTTTTTTTTCCCACGGAATAGCCTTCCCACTGGAATTCATAGGTGGTTTTTACAAAATGCAGATACAACATCAATGCTAAACAACAACAACTACTACAAAAAACCAGTTGCAGGGTCCAGGGTTGTGGCTCAGTGGTAGAGCGCTTGCCTAGCATGCATGAGGCACTGGATTCAATCCCCAGAACCACATAAAAATAAACAAATAAAGTTATTGTGCCCATCTACCGCTAATTTTTTTTAAAAAAATTGCATTTCTCTATATTAGCAAACACCAACAGAAATTGAAAAATTTAAACGCCACTTTGAAAAGCATAAAAAAGTATAGTTTTCCTCCCAAACCCCTAGATTTAGAGATAATTTCCGCCTCCAGTACTGAGGATTGAACTCAGGGGCACTTTACCACTATGCTATAGTCTAAATTGCTGAGCCTGGCCTTGAACGTGGAATCTCCTGCCTGAGTCTCCAGAGATGCTGAGATTACAGGCATGCATCACCGCACCTAGTTCAGGGGATTAAACTGATAAAAGATCAAAATATTATGGGCAGAAATAACACGTGAATAAATGGAAAGGCTTGTTTCATTCAAGCCATATGACTCAATATGTTACCATGTAAATTATTTTCATATGGTTCCACAGATTCAACGTAGCTCTAATCTAAAATGACAAGCTCGTTAAGGTTCACACGAAAACACTAGGGTTCTACCAGAACCAACACAACTTTGAAAAAGAAGAATAAAATTGAAGGGCAATACTATCTGCTTTCAAGGCTCATTCTGAATGTACAAGAATCAAGACCGGGCTTTCTTTTCTTTTCCCCTCCCCTCCCCTCCCCCTGCTCTCTCCCTCCCTTTCCTTTCTCTGCCTTTACTTACCTTCATTCTTCCTTCCTTCCTTCCTCTTCCTTTCTTTCTCTTCATTTTTAACAACTGATTTTTTACATCAGTGTGAAGTCCCCTTTTTTCCCCACATCCTGTGGGAAAAGGAGAAATCTTTCAACAAATGCCAATGCAGAGCCAGACACAAAACGGTGACCTAAGATCTACTCTTGCAACATCTACTAAAATATTAGCTCTAATTGGATCCTTAATCTAAACCCAAAACCTAAAATGTACCAAGTGCGGTAGTGCACGCCTGTAAACTCAGCAACTGAGAAGGGGGACAGGAAGATCACAAATTCATGACCAACCTAAGCAATTTAGTGAGACTGGCTCAAAAAAAAAAAAAAAGAGTTGGGATGTAGCTCAGTGGCCAATTGCCCCAAGGTTCAATCCCCAGAAAAAAAAAAAAAATCTAGAATTTTTAAACTTTTACAGAAAACCGGAGAAGATTTGCGACCGTGGGTTAGGGAGATTCCTTGGAATCCTCGGTTCTCCTGAGCGGCCCCACAGCGCCCCCTTCCCGAGTCCGGCCTTGAGCAAGCCGCTAGATCCCAGCGGCGCTCCGCCCTTCACCCCGCCCACGACCCTCCTGGCCCCTCCTCAACCCGCGCGGCTCCGCCCCGCTCCGCCCCACCGCTCGCGGCCCACCGCGACTCGGGGCGCGCGCCCGCCTGCGTCTCCACCCGGAAGAGCTGCCGGGGCTGCAAAGTTGAGGCTGTGCGCGGCTGGGCGATCTTCAGGAGCGCAGGCCTGGCCGAGCAGCCGCGCGAAGCTAACACTGCGGAGTCTGCGCGCCCCCGCGGCCCGAGGCGCTCCGAGCGGCCACGCGCACGCCCCGCCCCCACTGGGTTCCTCGTGCCCCGGGGGCTGCGAGGACTACCCCGCCGCTGGGCCGGAGCTCCCGCGCCTTTGGGAGGAGCGCGTCCCCGGCGACTTCTGACACTGCGTGTCAGCCGGTAAGTGACAGCCGCTGCCTCGTTTCATGGTGGTTTATATATTCATTTTCCAGTAGTTAGTCTCAAGTCTCGCTCACGTCTTTTTAGTTAAGAAACTGTTTAGCTCCGCTACCGGTCCGTCGAGGGAGATGCCCGGGAGCAGAGCCCGGAACGGGTCAGACCAGCGGAGGTGTCGTAGGGCAGGGGCTGAGTGCCGAGACCCTGTGGATTAGGAATTTAGTTTGTAAAGCGTTCCTTTGGGAGCGGGTCGGCTCCACGTCTGCCGCGCCACCGAGCGGGCGGGGAGGAGGAGCGGGGAGGAGGAGCGGCGAGGAGGAGCGGCGAGGGCGCGCTCCCGCGGGGAGCGGGGCGGGTCCTAGGCTCGGGGCGCGGTTCCAGCCGGCGAGAGGCGGGGCGACCGGGATCCCCTTGCTTCTGCATTTTCCTTTATGGCCCTTCACTTTGGTCAAGGGAACCAAATAAAGCAAAATGCTTTTGTCTCCAAATATTCAATAAGAAGGAAAAGGGAACTCCAGAGTTGTGCCTTAATCCTGTATCTAGGTGGGCGTGTTAATAGAGTGAACGAACTGCATATAAAATATTTGAGTAGTCAGTATTGTACAGGTATTGAAAGAGTATACTGTTGTCAGAAATTTGGTCCATAAAACGATATAAATTGATGGTCTAACTAGGCAAAATTTAATCCAACTTTAATTTGAACTTTGAATTCTGCAGCTGCCCTCTTCTCTTTATGGAGCTGTTTTTCAAATTGCTGAATTTGTGGCTCTAAATTGAATATGCATCTAAGAGAATCTTAGGATTCTCTTGCAGCCACCCTTGGGATCCCAGTGGTTTTGTTTGTTTTTAAGCAAAGACCACATCTTTGTAGAAGCGCTGTGTGATTAGTTCTTGTCAAGGGCTTTTCTGTTTTATATTCAGCTGACATTTTATTACCTAACTAAACAAAATCACGTATCAATGTGGTGTTCATAATTTTCGTTCACTTATTCTCTTCGATGTAAATTTGTTCATCTCTTAATCTCACACTGGCTATCATATATAGCATATGTAACAAGTATTCAGGATGCTAAACTGTAAACTTTGTAACTGTTATTTAATCCTCATATTTGTACAGCCTAGTACAATAAATGTTGGATGAATCAAGTAAATTGGATTAAAGTACACCTCTTCTAAGGTATTTGCTCTGTTTCCAAACCATGTATAAATTTGGACAAATATTTGGACAATTCACTTGTAACTGCCCCAGTGCAGCTACATTCCCACAAGTGGGCTTGTTGCCCCATTTAAATTTAATTCCTTTCTCCTTTGTGGTCCTATTTGTATTGCATTTTTACCACTGGTGGGGCAGTTTTCATTTGATCTGTCTTCTGGTTCTCTGAGGACATAGAGCCTTTTTTTTCCTATATTTTTCATTTGCCAGAATAGTGTCTTTTGCAAGGTATATATTAGGAAATGGACATCGAATTGGTTTTATGCATATATAATTTGTGGTGTGACTGTATTCATGAAAATAGAATGGGGGTAGGCCCTTTTTAATCTGCAAGTGTATATTTAGAAAGAAGAAGAACATGATGGTGATGATGTTTGCCAGTGGAATGAGATAGGTGAAGTTTGGTATATATTATGTTTATTTCCAATCTTATTTATTATTCAAAAACTTAGTGTTTCTTTCCTAAGTTTTTCTAGTTCTTTTGTGCTCTTTGTGTGTATGTGGTACTGGGGGGGTTGAACCCAGGACTTCATGCATGCTAGGTATGTGCTCTACTGCTGCTCTACATCCCCAGCCCTTTTTTAAATTGTATTTTTGAGACAGGGTTTCACTAACTTGCCCAGCCTCACTTTGAACTTCCACCTGCCTTAGCCTCCCTGGTAGCTGGGATTACAGGTGTGTGCTTGTTTTCTTTATAGCTGTTTTTGCTGAAGTCTGAAGTTTTCCTAGATTAGGAAACAAACTCACCTCTAAATAAACATTTCTAAAGAAAATAATTGATTATTCAAGTTAAAACTGGCTCCATTTATGTAGTAGAATATATATGAAAGTGTGTGTGTGTGTGTGTGTAATTAAAGAAAGAAAGAAAAAAATGGTATGCTTTTATTTGAATAAAACCCTAGAACCAGGGCTGGGACTGTAGCTCAGTTGGTAGGGTGCTACCTAGCACGTGTGAGGCACTGGGTTCAATCCTTAGTACCACATAAAAATAAAATAAAGCTATTGTGTCCATCTACTATAAAAAATATTGAAAAAGGAAAAAAAAAAAAAGCCTAGAACCAGGACACTTGCAAAGAACTCCACTGGCAGTGACTTTGGACAAAAGACTGGTGTTTTTAAGACATTATACTTGAGAGCAACTGTGTATGTATGTAATGTGGTCAAAGAAAAGCATTACCTTTTACATATATTACATAAATTATAATATCAATATAGGGTTAGTGAAGAGAAAGATTTGGGAAAAGATATGGGAAATGCTTTTATCATTTTGGATTTCCATAATCAGTACCATTTAATTTTTTGGCTTAAATTTCATTTCTCATTTTTAATGTACATGTTATTGCACAAGTAACTATAACAGATAATCTAGATCTAGTTAAGGTTTGAATTCAGATATTATTTTTGGGATTATAGCATGACCTAAAACCAGGATGATTTACAACCAAAAAATCATTTTGATTGTGTGAAAATCTTGAATATCAAAGAGATAATACAATTTTTTCATTTTCTTTAGTAATCTAGATTTAAGATGAATAATGATCAAGTTATGCTGGTGGGTCAAGTGTTCGAGTCATATGCTTCAGAATACCATAAGAATGACATTCTTCTGATCTTGAAGGAGAGAGATGAAGATGCTCATTACCCAGTTGTAGTTAATGCTATGAACCTTTTCGAGACCAACATGGAAATTGGAGAATATTTCAATGCATTCCCCAATGAAGTGCTAACTGTTTTTGATAATGCACTCCGAAGGTCAGCCTTGACAATTCTCCAGTCCCTTTCTCAGCCTGAGGGTGCTTCCATGAAGCAGAATCTACATGCCAGGATATCAGGTAAATCACTTTAAGAATGTTACTGCAATGTAATTTTCTATGAAGATTTTAGGAAAATAGAATACCTGTGGGATTCAGAGCACTAAAAACCAATTTGTATTTTTACGTAAAATACATAACTGTTGAGTAGCTATTGGTTACTTCTTTCAAATTAGAATAATGATTATCATCTCTGGACATGGGGTAAGACATCTAATAGAGGGGAAAAAAGATGTGGAGACAGTAATATATGTGTAATTCTCTATGTGTGTAAAATGTAATCCCAAGCAGTTTTATGAGGTTTTGTGACTACTCATAATAAAAGAGTTGGTAATGTAAGGATTAGAAAAGTGGTAGATCCTGCCCAGTGAGCTTCAAAACTATTTTAGGAAATTAATTATTTTTATATATTAAGATTAGCATTGTACTGTCTACCTGTCAAGAACCCAATACATTTTTGTTGAAGGAATGACAGATTAAGCATCTTAATTTTTAAGTAACTACATTGGAGTAATCAGTAACTTTTGGTGGCAAAGTCATGTCCTTGTATTCCTGGCTCCTTGATCCTTATCTTCATTTAAAAATGAGTTTTAACAAAGTGGATAGAGTTGAAGAGTCACTCTTAAGAATTTTAGGAAAGTAGCACTACAGTGTAATAATTTTTCATTACTTCATTCCATGGGAATCATTTCTGGGAAGATGTGTGGAATAATGAAAGGAGAAAAATGAATTTGGAAGATGTCTGGTTAGAGCTATGTGCTGGGCTGGGAGATTGAGCAAATTGCTTTATCTCATTGAACAAACTACCTCTAGAGTCCCTGTTAACCACCTAGCCTTTTGGTTTTCTTTAAATTTAAAGTTTGTCCTCAGTATATAAATTAATAAAGGCAGGTACAACCTCAGTCTATTTATGAAAAAGAAGGATTTGGTGAAATTAAAAGCCGACTCCAGAATACTTAAAGCAGCCTGTAATTAAGTTGGAAAATACACATACCCTTTTGTTTAAAAATAAATGTTTACCTTATAGTACATTTGAGGAGGGTGGGGATTTATAATCAACAGAAATGCTTAATACGATTCCAAAGAGGTTAGAGTAGACCTCCTTGGAGGCAAATTAAGATTCCCCAAAATCAGCAGAAATTTGATTTAAATGAAAAGTAGTACCTGCATTTACATTTTCCAGGTTAAAATTATGAAGATTATTAATCATTATGCATCAGGGCACTTAGATAATCTCTTGGTGGGTCAAGAAGAAATGTTCCTTTTTAATAAGTTTGCAAAAGGATTGTTAAAAGGGGGCTTTAACAATTGAAAATTGTTGAAATAGTAGTTAGAAAGTGGCTCTATACTTCTCTTATGTTAAATTTAAATAATGAAATTCTGTTTAAGTGACCCTATCAGTTTCAGATGAATTTAGCCTATTTTTTTCAATTCTTATCTGAAAAAATATTATGTTATTACCTTAGTATCATTCATTCCATAAATAGGACATGTATATAAATTTACTATGCTCTTTACCAAAGAGTAAGGGGTAGTCCTTTCTCAAAAAGGTGCTCGAGACTGGGGGAGATATCTTATATAGTTAAATATTTATCACATGCCTATGGATACATGCATATGTACATATTAAACAGAATTGTGAAGGACCTTAACGACAGCATTTGTTTTACAACGCATGCCTCCCTCAAGAAATGTTTAAGGTATATATTAGCTCATAGAACAGAGATTTAGTTCTAGGAGAATCGCTGGAGGTTTCAAGAAGATAAGGCCAGTGAAGAATGGAGGTGTCCCAGAAGAATGAACAACATGTGTAAAAGATCAGAGTCTGAAATAGTCTGATTTTCAGTATGTTGCACCTCTATATTAGACTCCAGATTAGGCATTTAATTGTTAAAACTCAGGATGCCTTTGTGGTTTACTCTCCTTAGGAATAAAAGATAGTTTCCAGCTTTGTTTTACCAGGATATACATTGAATTTTATTCTTTTACCTATATATTTTTTTTCTTTTACCGATATTTCTTACTTTGTCCTCGGGGATTTTTATTAGCCTAAAGTTTATTTGGTATTCTCAGTGGTTTACATGAAAAGTAGATAACAAAGAATAATATTCATGAATTATTTAAAGCAGTAGTTTTCAAATATTAGCATCCAAATTATCTGGAATGCTTGTTAAAACACTGATTGCTGTCGCTGCTGTCCCCCTCTCCCCCGAGTTTCTAATTGAGGATAGCAGATGTGAGGCCTGAGAATTTGCATTTTCAGTAGCTCTCAATAATGCTGGCGCTGCTGGTCTGGTGACTATACTCTGAGAACCATGGCCCTAAAATAATTGATGTGGACATATCTTTATTTCAAAAAATTTTTTTGTTCTTTTATCAGGGAATGGGTCAGAGAATGCTAAAGGTTCTTGCGTTCAGCACTAATGGTAGCTGAGCTCCAAGTGATTCAACTGGGGTAATTGAAAAGCATACATAGTAATATATATAGGAATAAAATTCTGTGTCAAAATAAATTTATTAATAATAAATTGAGCTATTAAAATGCTATCTCAGCCTTTTTCAATACTTCTTAAGATTTGACTATATACGGCCAGTTTTGCTTAAAATTTTGTTGCCTTTGTCTTTTTAATATAAAATCTTTTTTTTTTAATTTTTATTATTAGTTGTTCAAAACATTACATAGTTCTTGACATATCATATTTCATACTTAATATAAAATCTTAAATATCTTCATGTGAGATGAAAGAAAAGAACCTGAAGACCCAGAAATGTACTCACCTCTGTAACCCTTTTTAAATAAAAGTATACTTTCTACATAAAACAAGCCATTTAATCTGACATGTTTTAGACTATTAAAAAAAAAAAAAAACACCTTAGCCTAACATGTATCACTTGCATGATTCAGTAGGATGTAAACTGTACTTTTAAGATTTCTAATTCGAGAACATTAATAATGACATATTGCCCTGTACTATAAAAGTGTAGAAGACACTTATAAAAGTTAATTTTCTTAGAAAATTGGTTGGAATTGTTTACATAGTTTTTCTTAAGAGATAGTAAAATTGATTAGATACAGTGTCCTTGCTAAGGAAGAACAGTAAGGGATTCCCTTATTCTGGCTACCCTCTAGAGAGGATACAGAGGGGAGTGCTGAGCATGGACCTAGGTAGGGCTGGGCCTCCTCCCTGATACCTACAACTTGCCTTCTTTCCAAATGTGAAGCAGGTTTCCAACACATTTTCTTGTGCTGATTGAAAAAAAAGGTGGGGTGGGTTTCATGTAGACTTGTCATGATCTAGCATATGTGGACCTGGATCATCATCTGTAAGGAGAAGTTGTCCATGGAACCAAAGAATACCTTCTTTTTATTCTTCCTGGGTAGAAGTTTCCTTCAGATATAAAAGACATTGCTTGTGCCATTTTGCATCAGTTGATGATTTTGCTAAGTTATGCCATTTATGTAAGTGTGGGTAGGCCAGCCTGGACTACCTTCTGATTATTTCTGTTATTGTTAGGCTTTTATAGTGCATGCATCAAAATGCTCACTATATAATCTTAAAGTATTATTATACCTACTATGGTTATTTCTTATGAGTTTGGCAAACCTGATTGATTAATCTTCAGTGTGCACAGTGATCAGGTTTTGAGCCACTTAATTCTCAGGAGAAAACAACAGATCACAGCGCATGAACTAGTATAACAAATGCTACCCTAATAAACCTGTTGGGAAGTAGCCTTGACCATGACAACCAGCATCTTTCCACTTCAGTGATGCATTGCAGCAAAATATAAAGGGCATTTCTGCACTAGACTTTTCTTTGGCATTTTGCATCTTTTTAGTTCCCTGTTTGTTTGTTTTCTTTTTTATGTTGAACAACACAGGTTTTAAAGAATAAAGTGATGCTGTGGATAAACTTCTAGGTAAGTCAAGACCTAAAAACACCATCAGATTTATGTATTTATAAATACTGAACTTTACTGAAAAAAAAAAAAAAACCAATCAGGTAGCTCTATGAAACTCTTTGGTCGTCATGCTGTCATCTCTCTCTCTCTCTGCTTTGTGACTTACTGAAGGAATCCACAGTTTATTTTATGTGTGGCAAGTAGCAATATTTTCTTTGTGAAATATGATTACAATTATACCCCATATTTAGATCCTACTGGGATAGCCAATTTATGAGGATCAATTCTATTTTTAACCCTGGTTATTACAGCATCTTGATATATGCTTTTGAGACTCCTTTGAAAATTGTTACTTGAAGTCCTTTCTATGTTCTTAATTGAGTTGATGATTTTTTTTCTTAAGTAAAATACAAATATTTTCTTTCCTCAAATTGTAATTTCTCTCCCAGGAAAAAGGAAGAGTATATTCCATGGAGTCAAATCTGAAGGTGTAAATTGATGTTGTTTTTCTACTAGGGTTGCCTGTCTGTCCTGAGCTGGTGAGAGAACACATCCCTAAAACTAAGGATGTGGGACACTTTTTATCTGTCACCGGGACAGTGATTCGAACAAGTCTGGTGAAGGTGCTGGAGTTTGAACGAGATTACATGTGTAACAAATGCAAACATGTATTTGTGGTCAAGGCTGACTTTGAGCAGTACTACACCTTCTGCCGGCCATCCTCGTGTCCCAGCTTGGAGAGCTGTGATTCCTCCAAATTCACCTGCCTTTCAGGTTTGTCTGCATCTCCATCCCGGTGTAGAGATTACCAGGAAATCAAAATTCAGGAACAGGTAAGTGATCCAATAAATGAGAAAAACAACACATTTGAAGAAGTGGTTTTCCATTGTGGTCAAATTGCTAGGATTAGGTAATACAAAAGGAGTACACAGACGTGTGTCATCATTTTATGGAAGATCAATCTTAAAACTGTTGCACATATATCAGAATATAGTTTTTAGATTTAGAGGCCATGAAATAATCATCTTTCCAGATAGAACATTGCTAAAAAGATATGGAATGACTTAATAATTAGGTTAAGTATGTTTATTATTAAGATGAATATTTAAGAATTCTAAATAGCCATGCTTCACTTAGGGACAAGGGGAAATTCAGTGATTTTAACTGGTTGTGAAACATGGGTACAACAGGATTCAGGATTTCAGTTCAGTTTTAATTGCTGTGCCAAAGGAGGTATCCTTTGTCTTTAACAAAAGTGAGCATGATTTTCCTTCACTAATCACAGAGGTTTGTTGTCTCATCTAAAATAAGCAGGAGATAGACAATCCAAAGCTAGTATATAGTCTCTTCTGTTAAGGACTCAGACTTCTTTTTTTTTGTACCTCTCTTTTTTGTTATTGTTGTTTTGGTACTGGGACTTGAACCCAGGGAGCTCCACCCCTGAGCTACATCACAGCCCTTTTCATTTCGTATTTTAAGACAAGGTCTCACTAAGTTGCTTAGGGCCTTGCTAAGTTGCTGAGGCTGGCCTTCAACCTGCAATCCTCTTGCCTTGAGTTGCTGGGATTACAGGTGTACACCATCTTTTGCATCACTTAGTGCATGATTTCTATTCTTATTTTTTTCATTTAATAGATTTTATTTTTTAAAATACATGATAGCAGAATGCAGTACAATTCTTGTTACACATATATGCCACAATTTTTCATATCTCTGTTTGTATATAAAGTATGTTGACATCCAATTCGTGTCTGATGGTACAGTTTTCAAGAAAAATTCCTTAAGTCCCCATCATAATTAAATTGTATGAAAATACCAGAGAAATGGAAACAGTAATTTCAAATACTGTTGACTTCTAGATACTTAGTATGTATTTAAGCAGGCTTAGTATCTGTTTTCTGTTTTCTTTTTCTTGCTAGGTTCAAAGGCTATCTGTTGGAAGTATTCCACGATCTATGAAGGTTATCCTGGAAGATGACTTAGTAGACAGTTGCAAATCTGGTATGAACTTTTTTTTTTTTTTTTTTTGAGATGGAGTCTCATTATGTTGACCAGGCTGGTCTTGAACTCATAGACTTAAGTGATTCTCCCACCTCAGCACCTCAGTTTCCTGAGTAACTGGGACTAGAGGCATATACCACCATACCCAGCAAGAATAAGTTTCTTAGCTTCTATAGGCAGTCCTAAGTATTGATTAGGAAAAGTCACTTTTTATTTTCCCCAAGATCACTGCAAAGGAATGTAGAAACTTAATTGTTCGCCTTGAGAGTACAGACTGGCATGGAGGTGGGAGGTGATACAAAGGAAAAACTGGACTGGAGCTTAGAGATCTAGCCCCACTACTTGTTTTATAGACAAAGAACTACTTGCCCAAGGTCACTTAGAATGTTAAGTGGCAGTAAAGGAGTATGAATCCAGATCCATTTATTTCTGTTCCAGGGCCCTTTCTTTGTGTCATAACTTAACTATAGCAACTTACAAACAGGCTGGGGATATAGGTCAGTGGTAGAGCACTTGTTTAACATGTGTGGGGCTTTCATATCTATTTACATATCTATCTTTCTTTCCCTCTTACCCCTGCCACACACACGCACAAAGAATCTAGTGGATTTAGTGGACACTTATATAAAATGAATCAAAGAATATGACTGTCAAATGTTGCTGAAAGTCTATCTAATGCCCAAAAAAAGGAGGTGATTGTTCTTCTCTGCTATGTATTGGTGACATTATGAAAGGAATCACATTAATTTTGAAAAGAATATTCTTTAGTAGAGAATGTTTACAATTAAATTGAATTATTTTTGCATTGAAAATAAATCATAAGCTATTTTTCTTTTGAATGTCATTAATAATAAAGGATGGATGGAAGCAGTCTGTCAATAGCAATTTTTTTCATCTATCTGTAGCCCCAGACCTCTGGAATCAATAGGAGAGAATTGGAAGTAGGTAGAGCAATTTAGGTGCTAATGAAGCAACTAGGTGTGGATGTGATAAGGTACTGACTATGGTGATAGGTCGTAAAGAGTGCATAAGAATTTTTTATATCAATAATTAGCAATAATTTGATAAAATTTGGTGTTGAAATATATATATATATATAAAAATATATAAATACTCCTTGCCCTTTGGGAATTTACAGCTTAGGTTACAAACTCCAATTTGAAATATGCAGAGAAGTAAAGTTGGAGGTTATGTGCTGACAACTGTCAGTGTAGCAGATGAGAAAATGGGTCTGACTAGAAATGGCTGCAATAGTACAGATGCTGCAGAAGACAGAGGCACAAAAAGAGATTGAATTGTTTAAAAGAATTTTAGCTTCCTGAAAAATAATAGTTTTTATACATACTATAAAAAATACAAAAGTTTAAAATTAATGGTCATTGCCTTGGACTACCACATGTATCTCACATTTGTTCTAATGACACAAATCTTGTATTCAAGAGGTATTTGAATGAATGAAAATATTTAAATGTTGAAGAGTTTACAGAGGTATTAGTTGCTCTATAAATGTAAGGCAAGTTTTTTATGAAAATAGCTAATACTTATTGAGCACTTACTATATTTTTGATATTACATTAATTTATATACATAATCTGACCTAATTCTCATTGTAGTCTTGTGATGTAAATCTAATTATTCTCAATTTGTAGGTCAAGAACGGGCTCAGGAAAATAGGTAATTTGTCCAAGGTCACACATAGCAAATGAGCAATAGAGCTGGTATTTAATCCAAATTTGATGACACTCATTCTTGAACACTCTTCAGTACTCCACATTTTCCATATAATACTACTTACTGAAAGATTGTTGCTAGTGGGTGCTGTATCTAAAGTTAAGTTCCTCAGTAGAAATCCCCATTAGAATGACGGTAATATAGAATTCTTTCAAGTAAATGTTCATAAAGATTGCTTTGATTATGGTTTTATGTATGTATGTTTGTATGTATGTATGTATGTATTTGTTTGCTTACCTCTGATCTACATCCCCAAACCCTTTTATTTTTTAATTTTGAGACATACTCCCTCAGTTCTTTTTATCTAAAAGGTTTGGGGAGGCTGGGATGTGGCTAGTAACTAGGGAGGCTAAGGCAGAAGGATCACACATTCAATTCCAGCCTCAACAATTTAGCAAGACCATAAGCAACTTCACAAGACCCTGTCTCAAAATAAAAACATTTTTAAAAAAGGTCTGGGGATGTCACTCAATGGTAGAGAATCTCTAGGTTCAATCCCCAGTACCAAATAAATTAATTAAAAATGAATAACTAAATAAATAAATTAAAGATTGGGACACACAGTGTAGTAAATTATTTATTATTCTCAGTTGGCTTTGAAGACCATCCAAGCAGTGGCTTAGGAAAAATCTTGGAAACAATGTAAAGTGCCTGTTTAGTGTTTATCACTCTGAAGTTGCCTGTAACTAGAAATGTACTTTCTATTCTGTAAATTAGCACTGTTGGTTCCAGGCTTTCAGCATTTGTGGACTACTTTTCTTCAGGAAATCAAAAGCTCTTCAGATTATACATTACATATTGAAATTTAGAGAGTGAAAGGCATTTTGCATCAGCAGATAGCATACACATAGCACAAAGGCTTGGGCATGAAGACTTGCCTCTTAGTTCTGAGACAGTGTTTGTTGTGCAAAATATAAATACCAAGATGTAGTCTTGAGATGTCCAACATCCTGTATTCAATGTGATTGAAATTTGTGGGGATTAAGTTTATGGGTTTTTGTTCTTTTGGTTTTGGCATTTGTTTCTGCAGTACCAAAATACTGAATGCCAAGCATTCATATTTCATTGTTAACTGATAAATTGCATTGTATGGAATAAGCACAGATGTTATCATTTGGTGAATGTGCATATGAACTATCCAGGCCTTTTAGGAAAATACATCAATCTAATATTCTATCTACCAAAAATAGGTGTTTTTTTTCAAGTAGGAAGGGACCACCAGGAAAGCAGCAGCTGGGTTGTCACTTTGTGCTTTCCTGCTTTGAAATAGAAAAGGTACTCATTGATTTCATAATTCCTTTGATTAATTTTTTAAAAGGAGGTAGTGAGTAAAATATTAACAAATATGTTAAGTAAAAATAAACTTGTATGAAACTACACTAGGTGCTAGGCATCACGAGATTGTCTCTTTCTGACACCAAATTGATACCCTGGCTGCAGCATCTCCTCTAAATTGGAACTAAATTGTTAGAAACTCTTGAGAGGATGAACGTGTTGCCCAACCTAACAATGAATAAATCATCCATTAAATTATTTTTCCTGTGAAGAATGATAATTTTGTTTATCACATACTATAAAAAATAAAAATACTGATTTCAGGTTTTAGTTCTGCATATACAAGTACCTTTAAAAAAAAATTGGGGGAGACTGAGACAGGAAGATTGCAAGATCAAAGCCAGCTTCAGCAATGGCAAGGTGCTAAACAACTCAGTGAGACCTGTCTCTAAATAAAATACAAAATAGGGCTGGGGATGTGGATTGGTGATTGAGTGACCCTGAATTCGATCCCCCCCCAAAAAAATTAGGAATCTGGGGTGTCCTTTGTTTTTTTTTAGAGAGAGGGATTTTTTTAATATTTATTTTTTAGTTTTTGGTGGACACAACATCTTTATTTTTTATTTTTATGTGGTGCTGAGGATCGAACCCAGCGCCCTGCGCATGCCAGGCGAGCGCTCTACCGCTTGAGCCACATCCCCAGCCCATGGGGTGTCCTTTTACTCCCAAATTATTTTCTAGATGAGCAAATTATTTATAATTTCATGTCCCTTGTTACATGAATTTGTGTGCAACATGCATGATGCAGGTATTGCTGGATTTACTTGGTGCTTTTTCCAGGTGATGACCTCACTATTTATGGGGTTGTAATGCAACGGTGGAAGCCCTTTCAGCAAGATATACGCTGTGAGGTGGAGATAGTGCTGAAAGCCAACTACGTCCAAGTAAATAATGAGCAGTCATCAAGGATTATTATGGATGAGGAAATCCGAAAGGAATTTGAAGACTTTTGGGAAGACTATAAGAATGATCCCTTCGCAGGTTTGTGATCAAGGGAATGAAGCTTATGAACTAATGGTATTAAATTCAGTAGTTAAATACGATGTCTATGATTTGGGGACAGCCTTATGTACTGCGTAAGTCAATGGTGTAGTTCAAAGGGTAGCTTTAGTACCTCTAGATGTAGTCTCCCTTTTCTGGCATAGTCTTTTCTACTTATAGATCTTCCTAGAGATTACTTCTTTCAGTTATTTTAAATAACTGTTATACTGTCAGGGCAGTTTTAGAGTTTCCTACCTTCTTTACCAATTAAGAATGCAATTCTTTAAAAAGTCAAAACTCATCCTATCTTCAAGCCATTATTTTCTAATGTATTCTTAAAATATATTTTTGGTCGTAGATGGATGGACACGATACTTTTATTCATTTTTATGTGGTGTTGAGGATTGAACCCAGTGCCTCACATGCTAAGCAAGCACTCTACTACTGAGCCACAACTCCAGCCCCTTTCTAATGTATTTTTGACAATAAAGACAACTTCTCCTTGTTTTAGCTGAAGATTTTTAAATAGGGAGGAATAGGAGATGATGAGAAGATACAAAGAATAAACTTTGTCACCACAGCAAAAATTCTGTCAGACTAAGGTGTAATTACATAGAATAAAATATCACAGCCTTTGGGTATATATATTTTTATTGGAAATACCAAATGAAAAAAACACCAATTAAATGTTCCCCTTTTTTCATTCTTCCTTGGAGGCACCTTCTGAGAAAACTAAACTGAAGCCTGTAATAGACTATTTCTAATAAACTTCACCACAAGTCAAATATATATTCTTACGTCCCATGCAGAACTAGACAGATGAGAGTTCATAAAATAGCTTCCATTTACCTAAACATGGGAATTTATATTTTGCAGGATTTTTTTAAACTTAAGTGTGTAACACATATGTAATAGTTTCTGATCTTTCTTTAATTTGATCTACATAGAAAAGAGCCCAGAGTTCTCCCTACTGTGGCTTTATTACAAAGTGCTTTAAGAATCACATATATTTTTAAGTGAACTTTTTGATCAAAATTGTTTCCTTAGGATGAGGTCCTTATAATAATAATTTGTACTCTTCCTTGGCACATGGTCATTCCTTATTCATTTCAGTGTCACAGCTCAACTCTGCGTTATAACAATGAAGGTTGGTCATCATGCTGTGCTCTAACCAGACCTTCACAAGTGCTTTGTGCTGATGATTTAAAAACCTATCTTGTTTCTATCTTAGTTTCCTATATATCAGGTACCAGTGCACTATATTTGACCATTTCAAAGTCTATATGTGTATTGGTGGAAGAGAGGTGAAGATGATGTCCAAGAGGACATCTTCCTTCTGCGTCTTAAGGCTGGAGGTTGCTCTTCTGCTCCTCTTGGAGGTTGACTTGTTTCTCAATACTGTGGATATTGACTTGGATGAGACTCAAGAAGTTTTATTCTGACCTATAATGACCTCAAGGACCCCTTAACCCTGGTGCTGAGGTCTGTTGGGCCATCTGAACCCTCTCTAGGGTGACTTAGTTATCTTAGATCAAAGGTTTTCTTCATTGATGTAACTGAGGGCCATGCCATAAGAGGAGATAACTTGGCCATGGCCATACCACTAACAAGGTCTAGAACCAGAAATTTCAGGAGGGAGGAGGTGTTGGAATGGTATTCACCCTATTGTATTTTCCATGGTAAAGCCATGGAAGCACCTATTGCTATAATCCAAGGAATCATGTTCTTCAACTTAGACAACACATTTAGGATAATGGTCTTCCCCTTTTGCTTATTGCTGGTACCCCAGTTCTACCTTCATTGTGTATCTTTTGTATTAAGGAGATCTTGAGATCAGAAACAAGCACAAATAATTCAGGAAAGAATTAATGGTTAAGAAGTCTCTACTGTGTGCTAGGAACTTTCTATATGCTGTATATTTGTTAACTCCTTTGATCCTTAAGAATTCTGAGATACCAATATTATCTTCATTTTCCATAGAAAGAAATAGAGCAGAGAGGTTGAGAAACACCCAGAGTTAAATCCGAGGTAAATAACAGCACTCAGATTTGAGTCCAGACATGATACCAGGGCCTGTGATTTTACCACTGGGATATGCTTCCCATCAGCACGTTAGTTACTAAATATACCTTTATTCAACTCAACAAAGCTGGCCCTTGAACAGTGTTGACTTGGGTGACTCCCAAGTCAGTGTACTTATTCTTAAACCTGCTAGTTGGGTATCTTCCTTCTATGTGTAAGCCATAGACTCTGGTCAGTTTACCTACTTCATTTCAGACCTTATCTGCTTAGATCCCTGACCTTTTTTTCTCTAATCTTTGTTAACTCTGGAAAGGGAGGGACTTCTGGTAATGAATGAACTTCCTGGATTTACCATTTCCTTTCTGGTTCCCTTTTTACTAAAAGATTTTTGTTTCTTTACTTTTCTGCAATCCCAGGTCACAATCACCATAGCTTACCTGACAGAGTCAATTTGATTCATTACTGGGCTGAGGGCAGAGCATGTGCTTAGTATGCACAAGGCTCTGGGTTCAATGCTCAGCCTCCAAACAAACAAACACAAGTAAACAAACAAACAAACAAAAATTGTGTCAATACAAAAAGTCCTTGTGTGTAGGGCCATAAATCATGGAAAGGGGGCTGGGGTTGTAGCTCAGTGGTTGAGCGCTTGCCTTACAAGCGTGAGGCACTGGGTTCGATCAACAGCAACACATAAAATAAAGTAAATAAGTAAAATAAAGATATTGTGTCCATCTACAACTAAAAAAATTTTTTTAAAAATCATGGTAGGTTCAGGGAAGGCCTGCTGGAGTATTATAGATTGATTAGGTCAGTGATGAGATAAAAGACTAATTGATGAATGGGATATGGAGATTCTCAGATTGGTGTTTTGATATGTATAAAAACAGAACTTAAAACAATGATAGTCTTTTATTTAAAGCACATAATTATAAGAATTCAAAATTTCCTGCTTGATTTGCTGGGGCTATAGTTTGCGATGATCTTAATACTAATACTCTGATACTCCAGTAACCTATTCCAGATTAAAAGAATTTACCAAAATGCTCAGAGTAAATGTCAAATTGACTTGCAGGGTGGATTGATTTTACTTCTCTACCACTTTTCGAGAAGCTTCATAAGCTCCAACTACCCCTTTAAAGATTTCTGGCTGTTAAGTTCTGACTCATTTTTAACATTCAATACTTTCCTTTTAATTTAGGAGTGGATTAAGTTTACTGAAATTATCTCACAGAAAGTATAGCTAGTATAATTTTAAAGGAAATGCTGGCCTGATAGGTAGTAGATGAGGAAGAAAAGGAGATCCCTTTCTTTGTGCCTCTTCAGAAGTATGAGAGATTTAAGCAGGCAGGTCTTAGGAATAAAAATCAGACTATCCTCTCATGGCATTAATAAGAAAAGAAGAACCAAAACAGTTGCTCTCTTTAATCATTTAGACTCAGCCCTCATGATCATTTTAAATTAGTAGAAAGAATATGTTTATAGTCGGTTAAGATAGGAAGGGAGATTCCAGTTAGCATTTCTTGAAAATTGCTGGTAACTTCTGATCTTTCTACATTTCCCAGGAAGGAATGAAATACTGGCCAGCTTGTGCCCTCAAGTGTTTGGGATGTATCTAGTAAAGCTTGCTGTGGCCATGGTGCTGGCTGGTGGGATTCAAAGGACTGATGCTACAGGAACAAGGGTCAGAGGTTAGTATACTGTTTTGAAAATTAAAAAATATTAACACAGGGGCTGGGGTTGTGGCTCAGTGGTAGAGAGCTCGCTTAGCATGCACGGGGCACTGGGTTCGATCCTCAGCACCACATAAATGTAAGATAAAGATATTGTGTCCACCTAAAACTTAAGAATAAATATTTTAAAAAATTAACACATATAAATACAGAAGCTAGGCTTTTTCTTTCCTAGTAAAAGCACTGTTTTGAGATTTTCTAAATATACTCTTTCAAAGCTGACTGTTGTGTATTTCATACTTAGTTCAGCACCTTTATCAGAAGCTACTCTCCCAAATTCCAGAAACATTTAAAAAAATTAAGTTTTTCAATAGGTAAATAGTATTGATCTACCCTATACAGGTGCCGCTAAATAAAATGTTTATGATTTTATTACTAGTAATTTTTATTGGATCCTGAGTCTTTCTTCAAGAAGATTAGAAATAGTGCATTTTTAATATTGCCAAGTCAGTCTCTCCATCTGGGACTGTCGGTATATTTCTCTCAGACTGCTGCTCTCAGTCATCTGCCTGCTGATTCCCCTTCTGTTGGTAGATAGCAAATGTGCCATCTGCCATGAGATGCTGCTGTAGGTCACACATTCAAGCAAAGATTACTCTAAGTGTATAATTATGTTTGGATGGCAGAGAGCTCTTTTGCAGCTAACACACTTAACTGACTTGAATGTCCCTCATATGGGCCATAATAACCAAAGAGTAAACTAGATAACTAAAAGAACATTATTGTAAATCAGGCTGTTAGTAGAGACTCTAAAAAATAGTTCAGCATAGAATACTAAGTATAGGGTTTGTATACATTATGTGTTTTCATCATCTGTTATCTACATGGTACTCTGATAATTGCTGAGCTTAAATAGGGGTTGTCTATTAATATATTTAGAAAACACTAGAGTAAACTAAAGACATTTGGTCAGTGAGATAACAAGTACCAAAGAATGGTCACTTGTTCATTTATGTTGCATTTGAAATATAAGAATATTTAATTATTTTGAGAGATCTACCAAGCTTCATTCCCACTCATTTATTTTAAGATATAGAGTCTGGCTAAGTTGCTGAGGCTGGCCTCAAACTTGCAGCCTTAGCCTCCTGAGTTGCTAGAATTACAGGTGTATGCCACTGCAACCACCTATTTTTTAAAGATAGATATTTTATTAAGCTACTAAAATTTTCATAAAATAAGAAATGCTTTTGCTTATTTGTTAGATCTTACATGATTTGACAAGTATAAAGCACTTTTAAAAATCTCCAACAATTAAAAATATTTAAATAAAAATAGAATAAAATACTTGTATGACTTGAATGGAAAGATTTAATAACAGTAGTTTGTATTTAAAATTGGTAGAATAAAATCAGAAATTTTATAAGCCAAATTTTTAAAAAATTAAGCAAGGGCCTAAACATCTGGAAATAGCAATCTATTAATAGAATTTAGATTTTAAATGTCACATTCAGTAATCAAGTTAAGATTACTATTACTATGAGAGTTAACTGTTCTAAAGATTGTCTAGTTAAATCCTTTCTTGAACTTTACATAAAAGTATACATCAATAACACTATATAAAATAAACTATGTTAGCATTCCAAGTGGATCATTTTCTTTTTGATTATACTTATTCATGGATCCTTTTATAGCAATTTTAAATTTTATTTATTTTTTTCTAGGTGAACCTCATCTTTTATTGGTTGGGGATCCTGGCACAGGGAAATCTCAATTCCTCAAATATGCAGCCAAGATTACACCAAGATCTGTGTTGACCACAGGAATTGGATCTACCAGTGCAGGTACTGTACGTGACAATTTCAAATAATTTAAACATTCCTGAGAAGCTTGCCAATGACTTTATGTCTTCTGAAAAGGTACCTATACTAGGATAAATGTCAAGCTAATTTTTCTAAGAGTAACTGCCAAAAATTGAAAGAAATGTGCAACTTTTGTAGCTCTAAGAAAATATTTAGAAAACTTCACCTTTACTTATCTTTGCATCTTAGTTTTGCTATGATTTTTCTCATTTTCTAATGATTACTTTCATACAGACTTATTCAGGAAAATGTACATATCATCTGCCATTTTATGAAGTTCCAGTAAACAAAACATTAGATAGATGGTGTAGAACTTAAGGCATTTTCATGTTCATAGGTCTCATGGGTAATAGTATTTCTTACTGAAATTTCTTTGGTAAAGATAGATATCTGTTTTACTATTTGGAAAGCATACTTTCGTATATACAACATGGTGCTTCATTCATATATTGTAATGATTCTTCATCAAGTACATTTAAAAGCCTTTACAGATAGGATGTAAATATTTATAAAGCAACTTCGGAATTCAGAAAAAAATATTTTAAAAAATGTATTTTGATGCTATTTTGTATTTTTACAGTTTTGATTGGAATATTTCTCCTGTTCTAAAAATGGGCCTTTGGTTTCACACATCTTGTTATTTGCTACTTGTTAAGAGAGCCTAATTTCCATAGCCTATGTTCAAATTTCTTATGAGAAGCTTACACTTCAAAGTTTATCATATAACAAGATATTCCACTGTTCCCATATAAGTAAATGGCCTCTCGAGTTTTAAAATAAAACAGTACATTAATATGCATTAACAAGGAGAAATTTATAAATTGAAAGTAGTGGACAAACCTACTACTGAAAGGAAGTAGGAAAGATTATATAAAGAACACTTGTGTACTTTAGAATCTTTACAATCCAGTGTTCTAGGGTTCTGTATAAAGTGGTGTCTGCAACAAAGAAAGATGTTTCCCAAGTAATTATGTGGAATGTTGATATGGAATATTTCCTAATTACCTGGTATGTCAAGAAATAAGTCCAAGTCATCTTGTGGACTACCAGTAACATAAGATTATTTAGGAAGTTTCATCATGAATAGCTATTAACTCACTGTGTTAGTGAATTGTAAAAATACATTAGCATTTTCCCCTCTTTTTTATGCTATTTTATAACCCAAATATGAGCAAAAAGACCGATAGAGGGAATATAAATTTCATAATCGTAGAAAATTGACTGCTACTTCTCACCTACTCAAAGGACCAGATTAGCTTTTATTCAAACTGTTATTGCAACCCATTAGGGAGTCATGCAGCACATAGTGAGGTACACTAAAGGATGCGCTGAAAATTAATATAAACTTGTGATGCTACAGGGTCATGTTTTTTTTTGGATCATGGTAAAAAAATCTGAAAACTGCTGTCAGACTTTTGATAAAACTAGAAATCCAAAATCCTAAAACCACAGGATAAGACCATATAGAAATCTAAAGGTTATAAACGACAAATGCACATATGCTTCCTCAGATTCCTGGATTGTGTTCTCAGCTCAAATGATACCCTGATTTCCTCCAACCTACTCAGCTTATCTCCACAGTGCCGTTAGGTGATTTGTTCACGTTTATATTCTTCATGATCAAAAGGCGGGAAAAACAATTCAGAGCCTGCCAGCTAAATTCAGATATAGTGTCTATAAATGAGGCTACCAGGGAGAAAAAAACCTACACACTAGTTCTTAGTTATTAATATTTGAATTCCAAATCGATTTTCAGTTATTAATTTTTTTTTAAAAAACTAACTTAACAGAGCCATAAAACTTAAGGTAATAAAAGGTAACTGTTTTTAAGTCCGAAATTTGTGTGAAAATTAGCTGTCAATTTCCAAATTGATATAAAAACCTAACTCTTTGATGTCACTACAAAGTGATCTTTTAATTAGTCAGAATAAAAAGTCAGCAGTGGATTGCATTATTTGGTGATTTAGTTTATATGTTTTATTTCTAATGAGAACATATCTTATTCCTACTAGATTAATCACTGAGCTCTTTGTTGGAAAGTATTACTTTTATTTTCATTTTAATACCTTAACATTTTCTTTTAATTTCAGTTAGACAAAGATGATATTTTCTTCATATAGTTTTAACAGTCGGAGGCATTTTGCTTTTAAAATCTATGAACTAGTTAATGGACAATATTCTAATAATCTGGCATATTAAATTCCAAAGTTTAATATTTAGCAAAACTTTACTTCACAAATTCACTATTTTAGAATGACATGAAATATATACAACTTAAGAGTCTGTATTTAGACAAATGCTTTTTCCTTTCCTCAAAATAAAAGCTTTAAAAAGTGAAGTATAAAAGTTTTAGATATGAAGGCACTGCATAAGCTGTAATCATATGGCTACCTTGCTTAGCAGCAAGAGTCAAATGAAAATATTCTACCTTTAATTTAATGGAGTATAGAGACTTTTTGAAGTACCTAGATGTCATTAAAGAAAAATAACCTTTTGACCCATTTAGTTAATAAATTCCTTTCCATTATTGCTTTTCAAAAACCTGTTATCTGGAAAAGCTATCTAGAATGTGTCAACTACAAATATGCCTGATCCTATTCTTCTCGAATTGTCAGAGGACATGGGAAAGAGTAGTATAGATGTGAAAATATAGATAGTAACTAATGTTATGATAAAGCTAAATATACCTTTCTAAATCCACTGTTTTTATATAAATAATGCCAACAATAGATGATCTATAAGTATATTTGAGCTATTATAATCTCATGTTCTTAAACTTAGGGAGTTTATATGCTCTTGATATGTCGAAATCACTGTTCAAAAATGAGTTATAGTTCATGTGTTTTGATGTCCTGTTATAAAACCAAAACCATAGCCAGAGGACCTTATAAACAATTAGCCACATTTGTTATTATTTTAGAAACCAAACCAACTACTGTCCAATATTACATGAACTATAATAGCAGCTACAAGATGTTATGGTGGCCTGGAAAAACTGAAACCTAAAGTTCTTGGTAGTTTTTAGTTGACTTCAAATTCCCCTTTTAAGGACTCCTTTTTGTTAACCAGTGGAAATTTGCCTCTTAAATTAAAACCACACTTTGTCTTCACAGGAAGAAACATTTAGTTGAAGTCAACTTTGTTCTTTCAAAGGCCAGTAAAATAGTGGTCCCAAGATTATTGTCCAAGAGGCTAAGACATCTTCACAATCTGGTTTGATGATTCATATTTTCCTTTTTATAAGTGCTTTAATTACATATAAAGGAGAAGAAAATAATATATATGCTTTAATCAGATTAGTTTCAGAACAAATAAAATAACACATTAGAGAAAAAAAATTACTTAAAAATAGTTGTATTTATATTCCACAATTTGCTCAAATACTGGTTTTCTTATAAACTTTCTACAGGATGTTTTTAAACAAATTCTTCACATTGTGTCTTGACTATGTACTTACGGAATTTCAGGGAAATAGTTCTGTTTTTAATAGCTTAATCTGTACTAAAGGGATGGCAGGTGGTCACATGCAGTCCATGTGGGATTCTAACATGACATTTAGTGAGTTTTCTGACGTGGACCATCCCTTTGATGCTGAAGGTAATGCATCTGTTGAAAGAAGTGACTGTAGATTTGGATTACTGCTCTCTGCATCTTCCAGTTTTTCTGTGTTATCTTCCCAGTTAATGTGGAATCTTGTGACCCTGGGATTAGATGCCAAAATATTCCTTTGAAGCTAGAGGAAGGAAATATATAAATGGTAAACACTAGGAAAGTTAGATCACCATAGAAAGTAGAGGCATTCACATACAAAGGTATAAGTCAAATAAAGCCCTTCAGGCCTAACTAATAAACGAAGACTGAGGCCACGGCAAAGAACTTATTTTCCTAGTAGAAACAAAAAAAGGAGAATCTGAGAGAATTCATATAGATCTTTCACTACCAATAAGCCATCTAACTCTTCTATACTTTTATTTCCTAAAAGGGAGGGAAAAAGTCTTTTGTAGGTGAATGCTTCAGAGGATGCTTTATTGAAACAATATCTCTTTAGATTGATGTTTTCAAGGAAAATGAATAAGTTCCCCAAATATTATATTATTATGAATACGTAGTAACTTCATTATAGTGGCTTCCTACCTTTTAAATATTATGGCTCATTCTTAGAAACAATATATTAGTTTCTTTGTTTTCTTCAATACAAGTAATAGATCAATGGAAGGCCCCACAAATAGGATAAAAAGCATTCCAGCTTTATTATCAGAAAGGAGAACTTTCTATTCCACAGTCATGAAATTTTTCTTGAAAGGTCTGGCAGATAGTGCCATTTTAACTTTGCTTACTTTGCATCCTCACAAAATCACCAGTTATTAAACTGCTAATGGTTCCTAATGGAAACTTATAAGATACTAAATATCTTTGAAACTACTAAATCATATTTTAACTTCATGGAATTTAAGCTGTTTTCCATAATCAGAAATATTTAAGATCTAAGCCACCCATAGTGGCACATGCCTGTCATCTCAGTTCTCAGAGGCTGAAGCAGGAGGATCCAAGTTAGAAGCCAGCCTGGGCAATTTACAGAGACCCTGTCTCAAACTGAAAAAGAGAAAAAGGGCTGGGATATAGCTCAGTGGTAGAATGCCCCCGGGTTTAATCTCTAGTACAGAAGGAAAAAAAAAAAAAAAAATTAAGACCTATAGTCTAACTTCTAAGAATAGCAACTAAAACAAGGCATTTAGGTGGCATAAGAACAATATTCATATACAATGCAAACAGAAAATCTCTTCCTATAATTTTGGGAAAATTTATAGATAAAAACAGTGATTAATCAATAATATCACAGATATGAACTTGCTTGTCCTAAAAGTTAAAATCAGGTAAATCTTGACGCATTGAAAAATGCAACAGACAGAGCCATAAACAATGGCCTGGTTCTACAAGAGGCACTTTCATTTTTGTAAACCATCAGAGACTATCAAGGTATCTGCCCAACATTAATACTAGTAATTCACTGGATGTAGGGTTTGAGGTGATCCATGATAATGGAACAATAATCACTTTGCCCAGATGGCACAAGGACTTCAAATTTATTTTGTATCAAAGCCACTTTCGTAGTGTACTGTGAAATAGCAACTTCCTAAAAAAACTATAAGTAATTTAAAAGTAATGACAGGAATATTACCTTAGAAAAGTCTGGTTTTACTGGTGGATTTTCCCTTAATTCTGTCTCAGTGTATTCATTATTTACATAATAGCCAACTCTAATAAATTCTTGACCTCGATAGGTACAAGTAATTAGCACAACTGTTACACCTACGGCATCTGCATCTGGAATGAGTCCTGGATTAGGTGCATCAGCCTAAAATAATTTAAAAAGAAAAGAAACACAAAAAAGCTGTTAATGGCATGAAAGGCTGGAGTTTTCATTATTTTAACAATATCAATTGAAGGTGCAACAGAAACTTAGAAATCACATTAGGAAGGCAAGTGTTCATTTTTGAGATAGGCTTCTAGTTTAAAAATATTGCTCATATTTATCCATGCTATAATTAAGTACCCTTAAGCAATCAAATCAATAGTCTTATGGATTTTAACTTTGTCCGGTTATAATTTACAGACCTAATTAATAAATATTATCTTTCTTTATACAGCCTATTGGCAAGAAATGTTTTATTATACCAGGACACTTATATTCTCATGCCCACTCAACAGATATTCTAATTGTAAATTAGTATAAAATGAAGATGAAATATATACAGCATTTTAAAAAAATGTTAATAATCCACTGTTGTAAATAGTCACTTTGCTAAAAAATAAAAACATGCTGTTTAAACTACCTATATTGGTGGAAATTCAATGAGGGTGAAGATTGTTTTAGGTAGATGATATCAAAGACCTTGTTTTAATGCAGAAGGTGAAATGAGAAGAGAAGGGGCTACGAACACAAGAAAAGGCTAGGGCTGTATCTATAGCAGTGTACAGGAAATAAAGACATGGATTGGATGGAAGGAGCCACAGACAGAGAAGACATAGGCAGTGATAATACCTGAGACATCTGAGCTCAACCTGAACCAGCCAGCAAATTCCAACAAATTAGCTTACTGTTGTCAGGACACTAAGGAGCATCCTGGGCCTAGGTAAAATTTCAGCCAATGCTTATCTCTCTCATCCAGTCATTCTCAACATCTCTCATTGCTGAAGGCTGGCTTCATGTCTTCATTTCTTATCTGGAATATTGCAAAAACCTTCTAACTTGTCTCTTCACCTCTAGCCTATCATTTGTACTGCTGCCAGCATTAGGATTCAAACACAGATCTGTTTCTGTCCTTTAGCCTGGTTTGAAAACCATAGATTATTCCCATTTTGTAGGGATCAAAATCTTGGTTATCTTCATTTTTAAGATCCTTCATAATTTTTCTCCAATAACTCCATTCATACCTCCTTTAATTCAATTCTTGTTCTAGATATGAATTACTAAACAAGTTCTTTAAGATGTGCTGATAACCTTTCCCACCTCTGTGCCTTGAACATAGTGTTCCCTTGGCCTGAAATGTACTTCCCTCACATCCTGAAAAAATTTGTATCCTTATAAGCCCCAAGAAGGTAAAGTTAGCAGCTTTTTAAAATGTACTTGTATGCTCAACAATCAAATTATGTTTACTCTTCAGTCTTCCCTAATTTGTCCAGGGCAGGAGTCCCATCTAGTTCATCTTTATAATCTTATGTTTGGTACAGCTTTAAGCATTTAGTGTTTTGAAATTTATTCATTATTCAGATCCTGTCTTGAAGGTGTTTTTGATCTCCTTGGAGAGACACCATGAGAACAGAGAGCTTATCCCAAAGATGATTGTCATAGAGATCTTACACACCTCTTCCCCAGAGGGGTTAGGTTACTTTTAAAGTACCCATAGGGTTTCTCATGTTGCAGTAGGTGGAGATGGGAAATAGTTCAGTAGCACTATGGGAACTCTCCTCCATATTGCTTCTCATCACACAACAAATGGGTTCTCAGCATGTTTGTTTAAAAATCTGTTTGCTAAACTACTCAGGTTAGCAAATTCAATTAGAGAAAGTAGCAAGTCTTTCAGATCATTCAGGATAAGGAAGTGATGGACAGAGATCTTTGATCTTTGCCTTCAACCAGCAATATGAGGCAGATGTCTGGCTGTCTTACTGCTAGTCTTTGACAACTCAAGAAACAGGCAAGTTGAATAATTCTGAAGCAGAATCATAGTAGAACAGGAGAATATTATGGCATGCTTTACTTAAAACACATCAAAAACTGTACCTTAGCCACTTTCTGTTGATGTTAATTTTGTAAACATCTGTTCTTTTTGGCAATATGCACACTGATATCAAGGTAAGGCTACTTATCACTAGAAGGAAATACTATTGAATGAGGTTTTTTTTCTCTTATAACACTTAACCAAGAGCTTAGGAGAGTGTTGTTCCAAACAATAAAAAAAAAAAAAAAAAAAAAAAAGATTCTCAATAGATTATTTCAAAACCAAGGCATTTATCTAAGTGTTTATAGTAGCACTATATGTCAACCCAAGTTTCTTTTACTACACCATGAATTACTATCAGTAAAGTAAGGGTTCCCCAAGCTTGTGTGAGCCAAATCAATTCCTGCCTCTTTATATAACAATTTCAAGAAACTAAGAGAATAAAAATTTAGTTCTAATTATAGATGTAATTAGATTGTCAGTGATGATACTGTTTTATTCTTTATAACATTCTCATGAAGGTAGGATCCTACCTACATTTTATAGATGAGTGGAGTCTCTAAGGGAGATGAGCTTGTCTAAATTCACACACAGCGGTGTGGGGTTTGACCAAGGTCTGTAATGGCAGTGCTTCCTTCTGCAGAACTGGGCGTTCTGTGTTACCCACTTTTCACAAGATTATACACTCGTACAACTCATTTAACCCTTTTAATGTGTTTTAGAGCTTTTCTTCACCATTTGCTTTGATACATTAAATTATTTATGCATTCCTAATATAAAGCTTCTAAGGCTAAGAGAACAAGTCTCTGAATTCTATATTTAGGAAAGGCATCCCTAGAGCTGGACTGTGTTTGAGTGATTCTTTTGCCTGTTTATTTGTGGCCCTGGGGATTGAACCTGGAGTCTCACACATGTCAGGTGAGTGCTCCATTATTAAGCCACATCTTCATCCCTCTTTGCTGATTTCAGACAGGGCCAATTTAACTGAATACGGTTTGTCACTATGAAGTGAGAAAACAGGAACGTCTGTGACAGGAAGAGTTAGACTTTTCTTTCTTTCTTAATATGTTTTAGTTTTGGGTGGACACAATATCTTTATTTTACATGTATGTGGTGCTAAGGATCAAACCCAGTGCCTCGTGCATGCTAGGCGAGCACTCTACCACTGAACCACAACCCCAGCCCCAGACTTTTCTATCTTTTCAGTGAGACTTTGTTGGGTAGAAATACTTATAACAAAAACTAATAAGTTTATTTAAAAAAAAAAAAAACACCTATGGCTAATTACTCTTTGGAATATTATTAATATCTCCCTCCAAGAAGCATGGAGAATTTAGAAATGACTCAATAGTTTTATATAGCAACTTAGCATGAATTAAAAGAAATCACACTTTTGCATACAGAAGACAATGTTTGAAGCCTTGGCACAGACCAAATACTGTCAGTGGTATCTGAGGACATAATTTATATTAGTAGATTTCTTCTTCACAAATGACTAGTGGACTTACAACAGTAGTCCTTGATAAGGTATGTAGATTAGATGTCTTAGTAAACCACTGGACTTTAATTCCAGTGACTCAGCTAGGGATAAACTCATTTATAGAGTACTTGCCCAGCATGCAGAAGTTCCTGGATTTGATCCCCTCAAAATTCAATGCCTCAATATCACACATCTCCATCTATAGTTAATGTAGTTTATTTACTGACTATTCTGAAATAAAGTTTTTGTTATATTAGCATCACTCTTAGTGGCTGAAACCATAAACTGAAAATGTTTATTACTAAATGGTCTAGTTTCCCTTACTATTGATTCATATTATTGCCTGGTTATGTGGTTAACTGTACCAGTTAGCAAAGTGTTTTGAATCCATGTTCTGGACAGCCATCTTAAAAGTCTGATCTACTAGAAGAGCCCAAGATTAATCACTATGTGTGCCATCATATAGTATAAGGTTTACTACATGCTGTGCACTTCCCTGAAGCAAAATATTATTAACATCACTTCAGTACATAAAACCAAGAAGTGCAGTCCCTTTATGACAGAGATTGCCTGAAAGACAGCAGATTAAAAGTAGTTGAAGCAGTGATTTAACACAAAAGTAAAAGGATAAGAACCATGAGACAGTCAATTTAGAAACATATCTGGTATACAAATTTACTAAGATGAATCTTACCTGAAATACAAACATATGCCTTCCTGCAGGAACAGGACCCACTAAAACAGAGTCTAAAACTTGATCATATTCTTCACTTTCTGCAGAGCCCACATAGATAATTTTCCATTCCAAGTCTAGAGTTAAAAACCAAAACATTTTTTCATATCAGTAATTACATTCCCAGATGACATAAAAAAACCCTTTTAATGTCTACTTAGCCATACATTGGCTGCAAAATGATTTCGAATAGCAGAAAATCCAGAAAGGCAATGAACCGCTTCTTATAAAATTCTTACCAGAGTTCATTCTTCAAACCACTTTCTCAAAATGATCTTTTCTGAAACACTGGTCCCTGAACAGTGCTCTTCACACAAAAAAAGACTGCATGACCAGTAATTTGGGAAATGCTATACACCTTGTCTTAAAAGATTTATAAAGCACTGCCAACATTGTGTTCTGAGACATCCCTTAATAAAGAATACCAGGAACCTTAGTCCAGCACTTCCCATGTTTATTTGGCTAAGGAATTCCTTAGCCCTTTTTTGCATGTCATCTTTTAACAACCTCCTCAACATACTTTGGAAGGCCTGTCTTGTGAGATTCAAATCAGCACAGAGCTCTCAAGTAGAAAAATCATTATTAGCATAACTCCCTTTTGACTCAGAAGTAAGGGCTTTATTAGCTCATCAACTGAAACAAAGTAGCTGTTTTATCATCACTTCTCATGACTGAAACTATAAACTGAAGATGCACATTACTGGTTTAGTTGGGACTGATGCCTATTACTAACTATACTAACTGTGGTTAAAGGACCACAGGGTTTTCTTTCCCTCAGGTCATATATTCTTTAAACTGGGAAGAGGAAACCCAGAACCTTCCACCTGTTTGCACAACAGAGTATATATAGGAGCAATGGGCACAAGGAGTATAAAACAAACTCAGGTGCACTCTAAGACTTGATATGTAATTCAATAGCAAACTTAATTGAACACTTTTTACAATGTACTCTGGAGAACGCAGGAATAAGTAAAACTGCTACTTTTTGAAGGAGTCTCCTCTTTAGTAGGGGAAGGAAGACAATTCTATAAATACAAATCATCTTTAAGAGACTTCCTCATCCTCTTAGGGTGTTTGATATGTGTGGCCTGCTCTTGGATTCATGAGTGAATCCTGCACGGTAGATTCATTGAGACCACATAAACACCCCCAAATGCATGAGTTTCTGGATCACTTACAAGAGAATCTAGTTAGTGCCATTTTTGTGTAACTGTATAGATATTTTTATATCTTAATAAAAGAAATGATAGGTACTTTTTTATGTTATTATAAACTGCAATTTATTGAATTGAAAGCTACTTCAGGTTTATACATGTTCTTAAAAATCAGTGACTGTTGAGGGCCTATTATGTCATGGCTCTATCCTAGATTTTGACCACTCACTTTGCCCACTTTTAGTACATTTCCGCATTTGGGTTCTCACAGGAACACCTACTTGTTGATAGAGATGAAGAAGCAGGCAATGTGAACATCCAGTCAGGGAGAAAACATGCTTGGCATGGTCAGAAAAAAGTGAGGCTGGACTTGAACAGAATGAACAAGGGGGTCAGTAACCAACCATAAGACAAGGGTTTGAAGGCCAACTTAAAAGATTTTGACTTTTTACATTGAATGACATGGGAAGCCAAAGGTTTTCTTTATTTCTCTGGTGCCAGGGATCAAATCCAGGTCCTTGTGAATGGCAGGCAAGCAGTCTACCACTGAACCACACCTTCAGGCCCATTGAAGGGTTTTGAGCAGAGAAGTGACAGGGATCCATTTTCATTTTAAAACATCATTTAAATTGCTGCGTTCAGTATAGACTATAAGGGGGCAAGACAACAGGAGGCTATTTCAAAAAATTATGATGCCGGGTTGGAGTTGTGGTTCAGTGGTAGAGGACTTGCGTGGCATGTGTGAGGCCCTGCATTTGATCCCCAACACTGCATACAAATAAATAAAATTAAAAAGATCCATCTACAACTAAAAATATTAAAAAATTATGATGAGGCAAAATATTATGGTATCATGGACTATGTGTGGCCATGGTGGATGTGAAACAGTTATATCCTGGATAAATTCTGATGACAGAAGCAGGAAGAGACACTTTTTTTTGCAGGGGTTGAGGTGGGAGGAGAGGAAAATTACCCTGTTAGTTGTAGACATGTTTGAGATGTTTACTACATATTTAAGTGGAGATAACTAAATAGGTCTGATAAAATTTGGAAATTGGCAGTAGTATATAAAGCCATTATAATTGATGGGATAAAGAAGAATCAATAAAGTAGGTTAGGAAACTAGTGGCTAATTAAGTAGGTGACCGAAAAGCCAAGAAGCTTTTGAAAGAGATGTGAAAGCTACTAAGCTAGCCAAGAGAGGATAAGACTGAGAACTGTCATAGAGGTTTTCATAAGATTGTTAATTTCATATGTATTTGTACCAGTAGGATCTTGGACTCAATGGTATAAGCTGGCATGTTGTCTGACATAGGGAATGTACCCATAATTTATAAACCTGCTTGTACTGGTTCTGCCACTTAAAACTGTTGGTAAAACCTCAACAGCTTTATTAGATATATATTATATCTATATAATATATATACATATATATATATATATATATATATATATATTTTTTTTAGGTATTTTATGTGGAACTCTAACCTACTCATCTACACAATATATTAAAGAATCAAAATCCAAGATGTGCTAGGGCAATTCCAAAGTCTGGACTCTCCAAAACATAACTGGGAAGATAAATTTTAACCTTTCTAGCTCTTGAATTAATAGTGAAAGAAGGCAGTAATTGGTGGTGGTGTGGGGAGGTGAAAGTAAGAAGGGATGAAGGAATAATCTAGCCTTAGCTAGTAAAAGCCAACCAAATCAAGGAATGTCTACACATTGATTTTTATGCTGTGGGATCCTTGTGGAACCTACGGCATTTTAAATGGCCAGCAATTTTTATAAATTAGTGTTACTTGTTTTATTATTTTTAACCTAGATTTAATTATCCAGCCCTCTGTATTTCAAAGAGGAAAGGATAAGGTCATCTACTTTAAGTAGGTTACCAGTTGAAAGAGCTTATTCATTTACATAAAAAGTTAAATTTCATTCAGTTGTAGAAATCCCAGGCGGAAAGTATCTCCTTTTGTGGTAGTGGGAGTGACCCAAGGAAGTCAACAAAGGGGATTTAAAATTAATTAAACTATTGGAAAGACCTATGGTTTTAAAGATGCAGCACTTAGCATTAGAATAAGCTTGAAAATTCAGAGTATAAATCACAATGTTCAATTCTGATACACTGTAAATATTCAACTATCAGTAGCTGTAATTATTGATATACAAACTTAAAAAATAAAAAGATCAGTCAATTCTTGTGAAGGCTTTGTAACTTCTGCTTAAATCTTTTTATTTTTAGTTGTAGATGGACATAATACCTTTATTTTTATGTGGTGCTGAGGATCAAAACCAGTGTCTCACACATGCCAGGCAAGTGCTCTACCACTGAGCTACAACCCCAGTCCAACTTCTGCTTAAATCTTGACCTTTCATTTTGTAGAACTATTTTACTCCCTGACATAGGCCTTATGTTAGAAACAAGCCAATTATCTGAAGAACAAACACTATATAAGGCTTTTTCTGAAGCAAACCAATAGTGTAGTTTTTAAAGGGGACTTTGACCAGTTAAAGTATGAAAAATGGTGGCTTAATTATAGCTTGGGGCTCAAGAAAGAGTAATTTATAAATTCTCTTCAGAATATTCTGAAGATTAATTTCAGGAATAGATTATTAAAAACTAACTACAATATAAAAGTATGGAACCTAAAAGGAACCTTTGCTCTGTAAACTCAACTTCCTTAATCCACACAGCCTCTAGGTGGAGTACACAAGCATGGCACCTTTTTGAAAGATTCCTTTGCAGCTTCTCAATGACTCAGCTTAAAATATTTTAAAAAGTACTAAATAAATGCCCAGTGATGGTACCCCGATGTGAAGTGTTACCAGTGGAAGTGGTGTATTCTTGAAATCTGTGATGTTATTGAGCTGAGTTCTGAAGGATCCACGTTAAAAATGGAACAGTTTGGCTTCTATAAATGGCAGGTTTCAAACTAGCCATGTAAAGACCCTGTAACAACATCCTAAAATGGAAGGCATCCTTGCGAAAAACTGGTAACTTGAAGGTCTTCTAATGCCCAAAACACCTAGTATAAATTGGGATGGATTGATCAATATTTTTCTTATATTTACCCATTTGTATATGCAATTGTTTGGAAGAAAAATGACTTGACTCTTAGGTATGAAAAATGGGCTGGCAGTTGAAATGCTTTTAGTAGTACCATGTAAATGTATGTAACCAAATGGTTTCAAAATAGTAAGAAAAATAATCTTTTATTATCCATGACCTCTTTATAGATTACTACATTTTAATAAATGAGCAGTCCTTCAGAATATGCTCCATATGAAATACATGCATTTATGCTTGATGTATATATTAAAACAAGTCACATATTAACGTGTTAACTGTGGTTAGCTAAAGGAGGGTAGGTACTGAGGACTGCTACTTTGTACAACTTTTTAAAGTTTATTGCAATGAGTGCACATTGCTTTTAAAATTAACATCTTACTTAAAATACATTTTAGAGATTAAGAACTGATTTTTAAAATGAAAAAATGCTTTACAGTGCCATGATTAGCCTAATAATTTTAAATGCATTTTTTCAAATATACATGTAAGCTCAAAGATGGCCCCCTATTTTAACTGTGAAATTAATACTTAAGTCAAACTTTTTTTCCACTCAGATTTTGAAAATAAAGCACTGAATTGTATTAATAAAATCTAAAAAAAAGCACAGATTAAAGATTATCAAGATTTAGCTTTCTAAATACTGTATGTACTACTGCAAGTATTAAAAAGATTCTTTTTAAGATCTTAAAACGTAAAAATACTAAAGACTGTTGCGTTGCCATCAGGACTTTACCTTTTATTTCCTAGCCCACGTTTGTGTTTTATGTTCAGGGTGTATTCTGTATCTGTCTGGATGTGGTTATTTTAATTAGATTTCAACACGTTCTCGAAGACGGTCTTCTTTCGGACTATTTAGAAGCCAGAGATTAAGTCCTGGGAATTTTTTAAAGTATCTTATTTCTGCTCTTGGATTAAATGTAACTTCCTATCTTAGCAATATGTTTCTTCCTGAGAGAGAGGAGAGAAGATTTCCGTCACTAAGGAAAAGGAGTCCACGTTGGTCGGGGAGCCTGCGCGCCAGCATCCTGGGCGCCACGAGCATCCCCGGCGCTGGCCGGGAGGACCGGCCGGGGAGGACGGGCGGCCCCCGGGGAGCCAGCGGCGCGGAGGGGCCGAGCCTGCTCCCGCCTTCCCCGCTGGTTGGCCGAGGAAACCAGAAATCAGCGAGAGGACAGCCTCGCTCTCTTCCCCGGAGCGGCCGGGCATGGCCGGCCAGGAGAGTACGGCAACTCTACCGTAAGCTCTAAAAATGGATTTCCCTTCGGCTCAGGGGCAAGAAGGTGGGCAGGCGGGGCGCCGTGCTCGTCACCCGCAGCGGGGCAGAGGCGTCGTCGTGACGCTGGGGTCGCCAGCCCAATTCTCTACTGGGGTAAGATGGCTCCGCTGCTAACTCGCCGGGGCGACCACACACACACCTCTCCCAGCCCAGTCTGGCCGCGGGGGTCGCGGAGGCAGCTCGAGGCGTGGGGCCAGCCCGGCACTAGTCCCGGCCGGCGCCGCGGGCGCTAGTGCGGGTCCCGCGAACCGCCCTCCCGCCCGCCAGACAAAGCTGACAACATGGCTACCTCGGCTCGAACAAGTTCCTCGCAAGTTGAGCCGCGGCAGGCGCCGGGGCTGCGGCTGGACCTGCGCGCGCCTCGGCAGCCGTCGTCCATCAACTTCAAGTTTCCCTCCGCAGAGGCGAGCCGCAGCCCGCCCGGCGCCGCGGCCGGCCGCCCGCGCGAGGCCGGGCCCGGGAAACTTTCAACATCTGCAGCCGCAACTGACAGCCTGGGCGGGCGGCGGCGCCGCGACTCACCTTCAGACAGGTCCTCGATGCACTCGAAGGTGATCTCGAACTGGAACGGGTTGTAGAAAGGAGAAGGGTTATCCAGCACCACTACATTGTTCACCTGAACCTTTGCCATATTTTGAAAAAAACACAAACAATGGGGACGGGGGCTTGTTGCGGCACAATAAAGTCCAGCGCGCGGCCGCTCGGAAGAGCGCAGACCCCCGCCCCGGCACCGGCCCGACGTCGTGCAGCGGCGACTTGAGAAACTTTTTTTTCCTCTTTTTATTTACACGGGAGCACTCCACAGTGTTTTGCAGCTTTCCTATTTCACTAAACTACAGCCCATTCTGCTCTGATAACTAGCAGCGTTGCCCGCGATTGGCTGCACCCGAGCTCTGACCCTCCTCCTCCAGCGAGGGCCTCGGCGGCAAACAAGATAGGCTCCCGCTCCCGGAATGGACTTGGAAACTTTAACTGCGGCTCCACCTGCTGGTGTGGATTAGGACAAAGGCGGAGAACAAAGTGAGTGGAATACGGGCTGGGAGGCCCGCGCGGAGGCCGCCGGCGGCGGCAGCTGGGGGAGGGGCGGCCCAGGCCCCGCCTCCGGCCCGGCGACTCCCGCGTCTCACGTCGGGCGTGGCCGCGGCAGGGATGGGAGGGGGCGTGGCCGCTGTGGGGGCGTGGCCGCGGCGCGGACGGGGCGGGAGGGCGGGATCCCGCCCCTCGTGTGCTCCGTGAGGATTTTTGGTTTTTTGGTTTTTTTTTTTTTTCCCCTTTTTCTTTTTTTCCTTTTAATACTCTTTTTACATCAGTGCAACGGATCTGTCGGCTCTGCTGAATTTAACAGATCAGATTCAGTTGTCCACACTTGGTTAGGCTCAGCTGTCTTGTATCATGTAATTGGAGTAGAGAGAAGGGTTGGTTGCAGTGGAAATAAATTCTATTTTATATACCAATGTCAGCTCTGAAGGAGCAAAGCCATTTTGGAAATCGAGTTCTTGGCTAGTATCTACGTTTAGGCACGACAGCGCCGTTAAATACATACAAAATGAAGGGCGAGGAGATGATTTTCCACACACACTTTGCTTAGAAAATCCAAATAGGTTATTCTTGGCTGCACCTGGGTTTTCTAACTCCCATTCCAGATCTTCCAGAATGAGAAAAACAAAACAAAAACAGACATGATGAGTTACACTCCAGGTTTTTGCCATTTGGGGAGCATAAAAGAAGAAAATGGAAGTGTCCAAGACCCAAAACGACAACAAATGTAGGCAAGGGAAATGGAGAGAACACAAAGGTATATTAAAACATTTGATTTTTAAAAAATTTACAACTTAAGCCATTACTAAATGAAAATGTCAGTAAAACAAATTTTGAGGCCCCTTTACTTTCCTGTAGCCAGTTAAAATCTGAACTAGGAAACATCGATTCATTTATGCTGCTTGACTACCATTATGAAAAACAGTTTTTAGCATGTGTGTGTCAACTATTATTATTTACTAATCAAGAGTGACATAAAGGTTTGTTTTATGATGGTTTTATTCACAAACTATCATTTTTTCCTTAAACGTTGTAAATGAAACCACTAAACTTGACTAAAATTCAAAGTGAAATTATTTCCTAAGTATCTGAAGAGTGTTTTCTTTGTATAGTGCCCCAAATTTTAATTAGTCATTCTTTGGTCATTGTTCATACTTAAGTAGATTTTTTTTTTTTTGTACCCAGGATTGAACCCAGAGCCACATCCCAGCCCTATTTTTATAATTTATTTAGAGACAGGGTCTTGCTCAGTTGCTTATGGCCTTGCTAAGTTGCTGAGGCTGACTTTGAACTCTTGATCCTCCTGCCTCAGCCTCCCCAGCTGCTGGGATTACAGGCATTCTTTGATGAGATGTCTTCATCTGATCAACATCTAAGTTATTGTGGGACAGCTAATATCAGGTGTCCCAACATTAAAGAAAGTTAATTAGACTGGGAGGGGTGTGCCATTTTGTTGTCAATGGATTGGATAGTCTAATAGGACCTACATAAGTTTTCTTCAAGTCTAGTGTTTTGTGCACATTTTTGTAAAAAAGTCATACTTGGTGATAGAAACAGATTACTGTGGCTGATAAACAACATACTCTTCACTCTTATTAGTTCTGGTCTTTATGCCTGTAAAGATAAAGTAGAAATTGCTGTATAATGTAAGATACGCTGGATAGGTAAGGTAAAATGACCATTCAAAGATTGAAACATGAATCCTGTGACAATGTGTATGCAGTTGTCTGATTATTGCAGATGCTAATTCACTTGTATTATAAAAATGAGGTTATATGCTTGTTAAAATGAAATGCAGCCAGCCTGGTGGAGCAGTCTTGTAATTACAGTGACTCTGGAGGTAGAGGCAGAAGTATTGCAAGTTTGAGGCCAGCCTCAGCAATTTTAGTCAAACCTTCAGCAAGTTAGCAAGATCCTGTCTCAAAATAAAAAGGACTAAGGATGTAGCTCAGTGGTAAAGCACCCCTGAGTATAATCCCTAGCACCTCCTAGAAAAGAAACAAATGCATTTTGCAGTTTGACCTAATGTGTCTTCTAATGAAGCCAGGCTTACCAAAAAAAAAAAAAAATAGTTTTGATGGATGTGCTGTATCAGAAACTGAGAAGATCTACCTGGACACCACTAGTTTGGCTTATTTTACAATTTTTTTAAACATGTCATGTACAACAGTATTTAAGGAAAAAACATCTTCATAATGATTTTTTTAAGTTGTCAATGGACATTTATTTTATTTATTTATATGCGGTCCTGAGGATCGAACCCATTGCCTTACACATACTGGGGAAGTGCTCTACCATTGAGCCACAAACCCCAGCCCCTTAATAATAATTTACTGAAATATGCAAGAATGAATTATAGGCCTCTCACACTGCCTCTCTTAAATGTTATTAGTGCTCATTGAAAATATTAAAGGGTCTTTGAGCACTTTTTTCAATAGTTTCCTCACCATGTACAAGACCAAAATAATTCATCAGATGGATATTTTGAAATTGCAGTATGCTTTAAGGGAAAAAAAATTAAAAAGCATATCTCTGTAGTTTCAGAGGAACTGTTACTTAACAACTTTTTGATGACTCCCAAACAACAAGCCATATTGCAACTGATGGATCACTATGTATGTTTTCATTCATTAAGTACCCAAGGGGTTACAGGAGAGGTTTGGACAGCTATGTGAAATGTAAGCCCCAAATTTCTAGGGGAAGAATGGCTGAGAGATTGTTTGGCTTTTAAGATGAACAAAACCTAAATTAGTGCCTAGGGCAGAAATAAATGAACCTAGTTAGCTGTTGTTTTAGGCTGAATTATGTCTCCCCCAAATTCGTATGTTGAAACATTACCATCTAGTGCCTTAGAATGTGACTATATTTGGAGATAGGGCCTTTAACTATGTGATTAAATTAAGTGAGGTCATTAGTGTGCGCCCTAGTCTAGTCTGGTGCCGTCATAAAATAAGAAGATTTTGACTTATAAATAAACACCAGGGGCATACATACACACAAAAAAGAACATGTAAGGACACAGCAAGAAGAGAGCCATTTATTCAACCTCAGAAGAAATCAACCTAACCTAACATCTTCATCTTGAACTCTAGCCTCTAAGATGATGAGAAAATACATTTCTATTGTTTTATGCTTCCGGTCTCTAGTTTTTTGTCATGGCAGCCCTAACAAACTAATACGGCTATGGTACATTTTTCCCACTAAGAATTAAGCTTATTTGAAAGTCTAAACTTATTTAATCCTAGTATTGATGAGTTTTAAAGTGTGTTCTGTGGTATGAAATGAGGTGGTCATTTAGCTGTGCCAGTGGGGGTGTGGTGTAGTGGGTGTAGCCATTCTTCAGAGAAGTATCTATTATTGAGCATACAGCTTGAATTTTGAAGAAACAAGATGTAACTTGTCTCTGGGGGTTCAAGTCTCCACTATAGAGGGCTTCTAAGAATCTGAAATGTGAAGTCAAAGTGAGGTCACACACAAGATGAAAGAGTAAAGTAAAATACTGTAGAACTAAATAAAATTAATTTAAAATGTGTTGTATTAAAATATATTATAACTAGGAATTAAGTTGAGTCTCAATTTCTGACTGTTGCAAAACTTATCATTGGAATGAAAGTACTAATGTCTTAGTTTTGTTCACATCACCTGGTTTTTCATCTGGGATAATTAATGTTATCACTTCATTGAGTTGTCTTTGAAGAGTCAATTGTATTATTGTCCCCATCATTTAAAAAAAAAAAAAAGTAAGACTTGTTTTTTGGTGTTCTTTTGGGTTTTGTTGTTGTGGTAGTTTGTTTCTTGTGATGTTGAGGATAGAACCCAGGGTCTTGCACATTGCCAGGCAAGTGCTCTACCAAAGTAGTTTTTAAATGAACTTTAGTTTAAAAGGCTGTCTTTTATTGACTAGTGATGAAATGTCAAAATTAAATGATAGTTTTAAGTTTTTCTTTAAAAATGTAAAATGTAGAAATTTTCTGTAGTTTATGGATATTGCTAAATTGGATAAATTCCAGAGTAATGATTGGGTAATAATTCATTGCATATATACAGAGAGTATTATGTGAAATTTCTGTGCTGGACTCAGTGAAATGTTCAAAGATAAAACTTACAAAGACATTATGGTCTAGTAAGAAAGGTAATTTATGTAATTAAATAAGTGTGAAACAAAATAGAAAGTATTACTTGTAACTTCACTGATAGATGTTAAAATGGGCAAAAGAAAAAGTTTTTTTTTTTTTTTTACTATTTCTAAAGGACTTTTAAGTAGCCTGTGTTTTTGAGCTGTCCAGTACCCTGATATGGTGGAGGATGAGGTATTATCATCCCATTTAACAAGCAAGAATGCAGGTATATGTAGGCAGTGAGTGAGCAGAGGACTCAGCCCAGGCAAAGCTGGGGGAGTCTCCCCATGGAGGTACTACAGAGATCCAGCCTTCTGCTGCAAAAGAGGAGGACGGAACTACACATCCTGAAATGTAGCCTTGTACATGTTATAAGGTTTCCATGTCCATTGCATAATATGTTCTTTCCCTATTCTCTGCTCTAGTTCATTAATCAAAGTCATCACTTATATTCATTGTTTCCCATCATGAGATTACAAGTTTGTTGAAAGTATAGGT